TATTTTCTCAGTAAATATCCCTTTATAAAAGCTAATTGATATTAACTGGTTATCAACGATTTTAAAGATATATCAGTGGGTGAACTGATATTGATGCTCTGATCGCTGCTTAGATGACATATTGGGGGAATATACTGATTGGAACTCAAGAGTGATAGCAATAGAGGAAAAACACTATAAGCCCTCAAGGTACTTTTAGCAGCACTCTGAGGGGAAATGCAGCCAAGCCATGGCAACCTGACCCAACAGTAAGACTATGCTATAGCTGCTTCAGGAAGAAATGACCTCTCTGTCTTTAGAGGTCTACAATCATAGTCTATATGAGCTTTTCTCAGGGATATTGTAGAAGAAATCTTATCTGGATACAACTTTGATGAGGCATCCTCTCATGTAACTCCTAGATCTGAGATGCTATGATTGTAAGATTATGTCAATAGGATACAATAGGATTGGGTCAGTTCAATCAATCAATCAAGGCATTTATTAAGTGTTGTCTGTGTATCAGGTTCTAAGCACTAGGGATACAATGACAAAAGTGAAATACAAAGTCTCCACCTTCACACAGCTTACATTCTGGGGAGACAACATGCACATATATAGGTATACAGGAAGCATGGGAAGTATGCACAGTACCTGGAGTAGGGGAGAGGGAGGCAATAGCTGCTGGAGGATGAGGAAAGGCCCAGTGGAGAGGCTGGTACCTGAGGTGGAACCTTCTCCAAAGAAATTAGGGACTCCAAGAGGCTAAGGTGAGGGAGGAATGCATTGCAGACACAAAAGATAGCCGGTACAAGAGCCAGGAGGCAGGAGATTGAATGTTAAATGTGAGGAACACCAAGAAAGCCACTTTGACTAGATGGGAGGATGTGTGGAGGAGTAAGCTAAGTCAAGCTGAAGACACAGGATGGGTCCAGAAGGAGCCAGGACCAGGACCTAGTAGCATGCTCTGCTTCCAAAGCCAGTTCGGGCGAGTTTTATATCTCTGCCACCCCCATCCTCACCATGCCCACTGACAGAAATTACAATAGCTAAAGTATCCTTGCTCTCAGCTCTTCCTGAGAGCTCAGGGCTTCATGGTACAACTTACTGTGCAGCAGCTGAGACCTCCTGATGCTAACCCGAGCTTTCCCTTCCCCCCTGCAGAGTCCCCCTCTATTTCTCTGGTATAACCTTGATGAATGTGACCTGCTTAATATGGGGAAGACAGATGAGCCAATAACTCTGGCGCTGGGCTCTGGGCACCCGTGTGGTTCTGATTTACTAGGCTATGCTAACCCCCCTCCTGCTTCGTGTTTTCTACCTGCCTGTTGGCTGCATTCCTCACAATTCCCTCTGTCTTCATGATTATTAACCATGACAAAGGCTCCTATGAATAAGAACAGCCAGACCCATCTCCCCAATTGCTCCGTTCTCCTCATTTTCCAGCTGGGAAGTAGGCTAGCAGAGACTTGGAAAGTGGAGACAGCACTAGATTAGTTAGGGGTCAGGAGCCCCAAATACAAATCTTCACATTGCTACTTATATCTATATTACTTTAGCAACTCACTTTATGTATCTGTACGTCACTTTCCATCATTAGTATACTGAGAGGGTTGGGCCCAGTGATCTCCAAGGTCCTTCCTTAGCTCCAAACCTTTTACAACATAGAGGGCCAGTATGAAAGAAACCTCCTCCAACCCATCCCAGACACTGTCACATAGATGTCCTAAAATCCACCTCCAATCATATCCCCTCCTTCCCTCAAAATTTTTCAATTTCGAAGACACAAAGGATCCTGCTACTCTGTATTTCATAAAAGATAAGGTCCAGCCTCTTTGGGGTGGAATTCAAGACCCTGCAATTTGATCTCAGCCTGCCTTTCTCCTCTTATCTTTCATAGCTCCCTTCACAAGCCCTATTCTCCAGGAAAATTAGAACTGGAGCTCTGTGTCCTAAACCTGTCTCAAGTCTTCTAGCCTTTGGAAATACGTTGTCTTTGGTCACATTATTCTCTCTTCTTGTAAATGCCATCCTATTCCCCAATTCTAACAGTTGCAATCATAGGCAGCCTTCCAAAGTTCAAATGAATGTAGTCCCCATTGAGAAATGTTTTTTCCTCCTCCAGTACTTCCACAGCTCCATATACATCTCTTATAGTCCTAATCACACTGACTGTATTGTAGAATCATATCTAATTTCCTTGGCTCATTTCAATTTAACAAAAATTTATCATGTACCAACAGCATATAAGGTCTTCAGCTTTCTTCTGGGAAATGATATAATGGGCCCCAAAGATACTGGGGGAGCAGGAAGTAATGACATTTACACAAATAACTATGATACCATCAACGTGACAGAAGGGCAAAGAAGGGAGTCAGGCAAAGTGCAATGATAAATTTGCAGCAAGATCGATCATTTTCACTTGGAGAGATGGAAAGAACAGGAAGGGAAGGCTCCTATCAGATTGTAAGCTCAATGAAGGGACATACTGTTTTATTCATCTCTGTACCCCCACCACCCCATCTCTTAGCACAGGGCCTTGAATATATCAGTGTTCAATCAATATGGGTAGAGCAAATGAGTGAATGGAACAAGTATCTTACAATTGGTCCCAACACATCAGAGCTTGTATTGGGGGAGATGGAGACATTACAGGAAACATGAAGATGGTCATCTTTCTGTCAGTGCTGGCTCACACAGGATATATAAGTAGATGAGCTTTACAAGGATTTTGTCAAGATTGATATGATCCAGTTCCTCCAGTGATTTACCCAATTGCAGATCATTAGACAAGTATTTCTCATTTGAAATATCATTGGCCAAGCTAGTTTATTAATAGACTAAAAATGATATGACTTTGTACCTTTTGTCTCCTTTGCCATAATTCCACAACTCATTACAGAAGCAGAAGGGAGCCGCATAGAACTGAGGCCCAATCTGTGTTTCATGGATCGCCATGGCCCATGGATTCATCACTAGCCTTCCAGCCTACTGGTGATGAGTCTCTTTTAATTTAGCTTGTCTTGTCTTCATTACACAGGCTTAATTTGTTGCTAGGACCATACTCACAGCCTTTCCAACATGATCAAACTTGCCAGATCTTGTATCTGCTGTCATAGCTTTACAGAAACTGCTCACCTCCATGCCACAATGAGGCATCAGGGTAGAACTTGGTGAAAGGAAACAGAGGGGACATTATACATCACAGAATGTAGAACTTGATCAGTGATAAACTATGTATTAAACATATGCTCCCTCCCAGCTTACAGACCAGCTAGCCCAGTTCCCTCCTCTTATAAGTGGGAAAACTATAGCCTAGAGAGAAGGATTGTCTCTGTGGTCACAGTTTCAGATACTTATGTTGATTTATTTAACTTCAGTTTCCTCAGGTGATTTTTCCTGACCTTAGCTCCAAGTTAAAGAGCTCAAAGCCCTCCAGGCACTAATTTCACCATCTAGTCAGTCCTGGGGAAAGACAAAGTACCCTTTGGATCATAAACTTAATGCTAGAAGGAACCTTAGGGGTGATCCAGTCCATTTTACAGATGTGGAAACAGAATCCTGGAGACACTTCACCTCTGTTAAGTATCACCTAAGAGTATGTATGGTAGTAAGTAGAAGAGCCAGGAGCTGAACCCAGCACTTTGAATGTGAACATTCTTTCCACTGGCCTATGCTAAGTCTCTGAAGACAGAAGTAGAGCCCCAGAGAGAGAGGGGGAGGGTCACCCTGTAAGTGTTGGGCCCAGCAGTGCTTAAGCAGGGAAGAGAGGTAGAGAATGAATTAGAAAAAGGGATATGATTATTACACAACTGCAATATTTCTCAGATAAGATTTCTGGTCCTCACCAAACTGTAATTGAATTAAGTTAATTATATTCCAGAGTGAAGCTATTTTGAGGCAACACATATGTGCAGGCTGGAAGGAAGGGGCTTGTTTTCATTCTTACAGTTTTCAGGGGAAATGTCTATGCTTTAATTATCCAACTGTGAAGACGTTTTAGCTTAATAACATCCACTGTTGCAGGATCCTAGGAGACGTGGGTTCATTTATAGAGTCTTGAGTACTATTCTCCACGTTGTGTGTATGTTTGTGTGTGTGTGTGTGTGTGTGAGAGAGAGAGAGAGAGAGACAGAGAGAGACAGAGAGAGACAGAGAGAGACAGAGACAGAGAGAGAGAGAGAGAGAGAGAGAGACAGAGAGACAGAGAGACAGAGAGAGACAGAGACAGAGACAGAGACAGAGACAGAGACAGAGAGAGAGGTGAGGGAGAGAGAGAGGAGTGGGAGAGAGAGAGGAGAGGGAAAGAGAAAGGAGAGGGGGAGAGAGAGAGAGAGAAACATACAGAGAGAGACAGAGACAGACAGAGAGACAAAGAGACAGAAACAGAAATATAAGCATTTCCTGATCCCTCAGTTACCCAGCCCAAAACTACCATATATTTTCTTTGTATATATTTTGTCTATATGTATATACGTTCGTGCTATTTTCCCTAATGGAATATAAGCTACTCAAAGACAAGGACTGCTTTTTTTTTGTTTCTCCAGCAATTAGCATCATGCCTGACATGTAAATACTTAGTAAATGTAGATTAAGCAAAAGAGACAGAGATATTAAGAGAGGCAGAAACTGGGACAAGAAGATAAAGAGGGAAAGAGAAAGGACAGGGTAAAACAGAAAAGAAAGAAGGGAGGGGGAAGAAAAGATTTAACATCAAAATGTTTGATCATTTTTATATTTTAGAAATTTTTCATCAAGGAAACTAAAAGTTCCCACAAGCCAGGCACCATGTTGTATATGTTTTCTGAACTAAATACATGGTAGGTGCTCAGCAAATTCTTAGGAATTGACTAGGACATCCAAAAAGGCCTTCTTCTCTTCTCTTCTCTTCTCTTCTCTTCTCTTCTCTTCTCTTCTCTTCTCTTCTCTTCTCTTCTCTTCTCTTCTCTGTCTTTGTCTCTTTCTTTCTGTCTCTCTGTCTCTCTCTCTCTCTCTCTCTCTCTCTCACACACACACACACACACACACACACAACACACACACACACACATGCACACACACGCAAACACACACACATCCTACTGCACTCTCCCACTTTCAGAAAAAGAATCATATCAGGGAAGACATTCAGGAGAGACTGATAGACTAGGTCTTGAAGGCTGAGAGCAGAAGAAAACCAATAGGGGGTAGTAAAAAGAGCCTGCACTTAGAGTCTGAAAACATGTATTCAAATCCAGACTCCAGCATTTATTATCTATGCAAGCCTAGGGAAGTTACATCATCTTTCTGAGTCTCAGTTTCCTCACCTGTAAAATAGAGACAAGAATACTCATATTAGTTACCTCACAGGTTTAGGGTAACGAAAGCACTTTGTAAACTTCATAACCCTATAGAAATTAGAGATATTATTATCTTTGTTATGGGTGAGTCTTTTATACTCTGCTGTCTGTCTGGTAAAATCTAGCCTGTCCCATAGTCACTACATTGATACACTGAGTATTTACATGGGAGTTAAAGCTCTTTACTTTTTCTGTAGAGACCTAAACATGGATCAAATTTTGATTATACAGGAGAAACTCCAAGTTGGGAACATAAAAGCCTTTAAGCTCAAACCCAAAGCTTTGGTTGTGGGACATTCATTTCAACAACAAACACCCCACCCCATCATCTCTTCCTCAGTCTACCTTATTCCAAACACTCATATTTGTAAACCCATGCCTAATGTAAATGTGAGGGCCTTTGGTTATAAAAGCTTGAATTTATGAATGGAAGAGAGGGAGGGGAAGCTTCTGGACTTTTAAGGACATATTCTGAAAGTAAAAACTGATACAGTGGCAGGTAGGTGGCACAGTGGATAGAGCACCAGCCCTAGAGTGAGGAGGACTTGAGTTCAAATCTGGATTCAGGCACTTACTAGCTGTGTGACGCTGGGCAAGTCACTTAAGCTCGATTGCCTCAAAAAAAAACCTGCTTTAAAAAAAAAAACTAATGCAGAAGAAAATGTTTCCTCTTGAGGGAAAAAAGAGAGTGAAGATAGGAGGCATAATGGAAAAGACACCTAGGTTCGACTCCCAGCTCTGCTATCACTTTGTATCTGAGTTTCAGGAGGGGGTTTCTAAGGGCTCTTCCAATTAAAAAAAAATCTTATAATACTCTCAAATGTGTTCCCATTGTCTTCTCTTCTTTCATTATTATCAGAGAATCTATTCTCCCTCCCTCCTTCCCTCTCCCCCTCTGCAGCACACATCACCCCCCCCTCCTTCCTTAGGTCTTAAAGCACTGTGCAAATGTGGATTCTATTCTTCCTTCTCAGAAGGCTGCTCTAGTGGCTAGTCAGAAGATCTGGGTCCTAGCTCTGACACTAAAGAGTACAGATAAGATAAATTAATTTAAATTAAAAAAAAGACTACAGGTAAGTCACTGAAAACTTTCTAGAGCTGCTTCATCTGTAAAATGAGAGTAATATCTACCTTATCTATGATAAGGCTGTTGTGAGAAAAACACCTTCTTCATGAAAGCTATTCTTATCACCTCTTTGGTTCACCCCCTACCTTTCCACCTCTAGCCCCAGAACTTTCATTTGTGCCCAGCCATGTGGCCCCTAAATTCCTTCCTACTTGGGTCAAACATCAGCAGCTGGGAGTAGCCCAGGCAAAAGGGGTCCGCAGCTTGACAAAACTGAATGCCAGGCTTGGCAAGCTCTGGAGCCTGACTCCCCTGCAGCAATCACTCACTCTCCCAAGGAGTAAAATGATCATTTCCCGAGATAGGATCAGAGAAATTCATCAAACTGGCTTTTAAATCCACTGACTCCCCGCCTTTCCCCCTTTCCCCTCCTCTACCACCCAGCACTGCTGAGATTAAAATGCATTATCCTTTGATATGGGGGCTAATAAACTGAGCCATCCCTCAGCCTCAGGCCTCAGACTATAATTCACTCTCAAAAAATTGTAGATATCCACTCAGATACATTCTAAATATATCACAGAGAAGATAAATATGCATACTTAGGAGGCCCCATGGAGGGTACACATCTCTTGCTAAAACTGCCGTCCAAGTCTTCTTTAGATGCTCAGATAAAGCTAATCTTCAGAGACTTGGGGTCTAAAGAAGGAAGAAAGCTGGGAATTCTAAGAGCTAGAGAGTAGTTCCAAGGAAAGAGTTCTAGATTCACTTTCAAAAGATCAAGGTTCAAGTCCTGGTTCTGCTATTCATGAGATAAATGATCTTGAACAAGTCCCTTCTACACTGGGGGTAGGAGATGGGGCTGGGGGGTCTTTTTCATCATTATATGAAAAATGGGAGAATAGTGATAGGGGCGGGGCCCAAGCCAAGATCTTTGCCCTTTGCCCCAAAGGGAATCTGACTCACAGGCCCCAGACCCTCATCTCCCTTGAAAGCCCTAGCTTACCTTTAGATCTTATTCAGATGCACCTTCAACCCTTGCCCTGAATAGAATCTGGCTCCTGTTTGTCTACAGGACCCAGAAAAACCCTTAAACCTTCAAATTTCCTAATCGACTCCCCTCATCTCCCTTTGAAAGCCTTAGGCTCCCTCTTGTCTATAGGCCCCAGAAAGGCCTTCCTTTATCTCCTTTTGAAAGTCCTAGCCCCACCTTGATTTTGTGCAGATGCCTTTCAAATTTCTGCCTTCCTGTTCCCTCCATTATCTATTCCCATTGTCTATTCAATCTCTCTGACCTCCCCAATTAGAATTCTTACCTAGACCCTTTTCCCAACCCCCTTCTCTGGCCACACAAAGTTACTTTAGTATTTAAGATCCACCTGGGCCCTCATTCAGATGCTGAGAATCTCACGCTCAAAAGGCTGAGAACCTCTCAACCTCTCATCCCCGCTTGTCTTTACAGGCGTCACCTGGTCAATGTGATTTATCACTAAAAAACTTTTCCTCTGGCTGAAGAAGATTTGAGTTGAATTCAGCAGGGCCCAGTACCACGATCTTGGGGTCCCAGCACCCCAAAACCCTAGACCTCTTCAATAGGACTAGATGGTCGCTAGGAGCATTTCTTGTGGTCGAACTGTGCCACCTTGAGGAAGTCCCTTCTCTCTGAGCTGTTAAAATGAGGGGGTTGACCTAGATGGTCCCCTAGGTCATTTCCTTCCCTGTGATTATTGGATGATGAGATTCAGTCATTCCTGCTCTGCTACACTGAGGGTTCTTCACCTGGGGTCCATAATTTGTGGATGAATTTCAGGGGGACCTACAGGGGAAAAAACTTATATGTGAAAAAAATAACGTCTTTATTTTCACTAATTTCAACTAAAATTTAAATTTCCTTCAATTTTATTTTAAAACATTGTTCTAAGAAGTGGTCTAGTAAGTGACCATCATCAGACTTCTAGATAAATCATAACATAATAAAGGTTAAGAACTCTTAACCCTCAACCCCTGCTCAGGACTGGAAAATCACTTCTTGTGGATGTAGAAAATTAGGTTCAGGACTCTGATTTTGTATACCTGGTTACTGGCTGCCCCTTAACAGTGAGCATAGATAATAGAACTTGGTGTGAGTCAAATCTATGTAGTCCCTGAGTGGTCCCCAAGCAGGGGAAATAAACTATTAGTCCCCTAACCTTTCATCTTCCCCCACCTCTCCCCTTCCCACCTCCCAATCAAATGATTGATCAACAAACATTTGAAGGTGAAAAGAGCCCTGCCCTCGGGGAGCTTATGTTCTAATCTGGAAAGACAACATGTATGCTTATAGTTATATGCAAAATGCCTATGAGGGAAAACACCAGCAACTGGGAGGGTGGAAAAAGAAACAGAGATAGACAGGCAGACACAGACAGATAGAGACACAGAGAAAGTGAAAGACAGAGATAGAGAAACAAAGATAGAGACAGTGTGGGAAGGAAAGGAGGAAGAAAGGAAGGAAGGAAGGAAGGAAGGAAGGAAGGAAGGAAGGAAGGAAGGAAGGAAGGAAGGAAGGAAGGAAGGAAGGAAGGAAGGAAGGAAGGAAGGAAGGAAGGAAGGAAGGAGGGAAGGGAGGGAGGAGGGAAGGGAGGGAGAGAGGAAAGAAAGTGAAAGAAAGAAAGAAAGAAAGAAAGAAAGAAAGAAAGAAAGAAAGAAAGAAAGAAAGAAAGAAAGAAAGAAAGAAAGAAAGAAAGAAGAGAGAAAAAAGGAAGGAAGGAGGGATGGAAGAAAAGAAGGAAAGGAGGAAGAGGAAGGGAGAGAGAAAAGACAGTGAAAGAAAAATAAAGAAAGGGAAGGAAGGAAGAAAGGCAGAAAAAGTCCTCATGTAGAAGGTGGCTCTTGAGTTTAGTAAAAGGACGCCAGGCTTCTTTAGTTGGGGAGTCAGCATGGTGCAGATCATAAGACCTGAGTCTAAAGATCACTAGCTCTAGAGTCAGAGTATGTGAGTTCAAATCCCACCTCTGATGCTTATTACCAGTGTGATCTTATTTATCCTCCCCGGACCTCGGTTTCCTCACATGTAAAATGAAGGGGCTGCCCTCGATGACCTCTGAGTTTCCTTCTAGCTCTGGATCCGTGATCTCCTGACTTGTCTGGGTTTCAGCTTCCTCACCTGTAAAATGGCAGAGTAAACTCCAACTCCTAGGACCTTCCAAAAGTTCTCAGTGCTTGTCTGGAGAGCATCACACACTACCTGGTAGGAAAGCAGCATCAGCCACCCCTCACTCATTACAGCACAGGAGCTATTAAATGTGAAGTAATGATAATTGTCCCAAAAAGAGATGATAGTCTTATAGAATCTCTATCATTATCAAAGCAGTATTACAACAGCAATAGCTTAATAAAAGCACTAAATAAACTCCCCAAAAGGAAAATAGGAAAATTTCACCACAAAATCAATTCAGCTTTAATTCAAATGTGCTGAAAAGGTATTTCATCTTAATGACTCAATTATTGCATTATAAGGTGAGTAATAAAGTTTCCTATCCACTCCTTGCTTGACTATTTAATCCTCTTTTTCCAACCTCTTCTGGGGAAGATACTTTTATAGATTCACACTTTGTAAATTGGGCACTTTGCTTCCATTTTATTAGCGATTTTATAGAATATTCAGCCATTTGCCTTAATGTAAAGTCTATCACTTAATTAGTCATCAGTAGGATTCTTGGAATGCTAATCTATGTGTTTGTTTTCATGCACACTCACAATGCCCTATCCTGAGTTCCCATCACAGTACTGGGACATGGGGGTGATATTACATATTCTCAAATTCATCACAGCCAAGGAAGGCAAGCTAATAATTGTGCTTCAGTTTCTGACTCATACTGCTGTCTCTGCTTTCTGCTGCAGCATGAGAAGGCCATGCATTATAAATATGCCCTCATCTTCCCAAAGCAGGACAAAGGAAAGATTAAGCCCACCCCCCCATCACTAACCATTACACACACACACACACACACACACACACACCCCTAACTAAGTCAATTCTTGCTAACCCACAACTGGTGCTACTGACCTGGAAACCTTTGTTATAGAGAAAGGCAAGCTCTGGGAGTGACCTCGAGCGTGTGTGTGTGGTGTGTGTGTGTGTGTGTGTGTGTGTGTGTGTGTGTGTGTGCACTTGTACACACTCAAATACAAGTGCTCAATTTGTGGCTGTCAGGTCCAAACTCTAGCTAACACTAACATTAGCCACAACTCACATTTACATGGTCCTTGAAGGTTTGCAAAGCACTTAACATACATTATAGGAAAATGTTATTATTATCCTTGTTTAGCAAGTGAGGAAACTGAAAAGTGAAGTGGCTTTTCCAGGCTCATATAATTAGTGAATATTTGAGGGTGGACCTGAACACCAGTCTTCTTGAAATGTGGAACAATTCTTTACCCAATACACCACACCCCTCGGACACTCCCTAGAGAAACTCTGTTGGATAATATTTAAAGAGACAACATGTCAGACTTTCAGGTCATGTGAGCAACAAGATGGCAGACTAGACATTTTCTCAGATCACCATGACCTCTAACCTCTCCAAAACAGAAATTTATGCACCAAAGATAAAGCACCTTCAGCTGTTTCCATGGTCTAAGACACCCTGAATCCAAATGAAAGTTTAAAAAAGAAAAACAGAACTGACTGTCCCTGATCCTAAGTTCACTCAGCATCCCACCCCAATCTCCCAGCTTGCCAGCGGCAAGGCCACACTCACAGACCCAAGGACACAATACATCAAATCCATCCCTGTAACTCGTTACCCCCTCCATCTTTCTAGAGCCATAGAGACCCTGGCTCAAGGTTGCAGAAGTTTGCTTGTGCCTCAACAGCCCTTTAGGATCAAAAGCCTGCTGAGAACTGCAACCCACCACAGTGCTGTACAGTTCTGAACAGGGAAATCGGGTTCAGAACCACCAGTGCTAGGCCAAAGAACTAAGGAACAGGTAGAGTGAAACAGTCATCAGGACAGGACACTGTCCATGTGTGGAGCTGTGCAATATTCCACCAAGTCCAGAGGAAAGAGCACAGCATCCACTTGAGGCATTTCCATACAATAATAACAAAACACAAGAAGCAACAATGGAAAGGGAAATCCCATTATATAACTGTAATGATATAACTATAAATAATAAACTATAACTATAATTATAAATAACTAGAAATGTATAAAACTCTATACTTACTATATATAACTATAGTTATGGTTATACAACTATAAAATGTATAAATTATCTAGGGATCAACCTCCCAAAGTACACAAAAGACTTACATAGATTCAATTACAAAGCATTCCTTAAAAAAATGAAGAAAATCTAAATAGCTAAAGGAATATTTGGTGCTCATGTCTAGGCCATGCCAATATAACAAAAATAATAATATCAACAAAATTAATTTATCCTTTTAAAGCTATACCAATCAAATTACCAAGGGCATACTTTACAGAGCTTGATGAAATAATAACAAAACTGATTTGGAAAAACAAAAGATTTAGAATATCAAGGGAAATGATGAAACTAAGTAAGGACAAAGGGAAAATAGCACTTCCTGCCTCAAGCTATATTATAAACCATCAGTCGTCAAAGCCATCTAACATTAGTTAAAGTATAGAGAGATAGATCAATGGAACACACCTAGAAAAAATAGAACTCAGTAATTCAATGTTTGATAAAATGGACGACAGGTTACCTAAGGGAAAATTCCCTATTTGATTAAAAAGAACTATTAAGAAAACTGGAAAGCAGTCTGGAAAAAATTAGACTTAGACCCACATCTTATACCACCCGATACAATACATTCTAAATGGATATATGACCTTAATATTAAAGATAAACTGTTAAAAAATAAGAAGAGAAACAGATAATATACCTCTCGCATGGCTATAGGTAAGAAATGTACTTTTTTTTTTGAGAATGAACAATTTCTTTGATCCGTGGTTACAATGCTACTAAGTGTTTAAGGCAGGAATTCAGCTAAGATCTTCCTGACACTTAATTGAGAGCTCTTATCCAATGTACCACCTAGCTGTCACTCTTTCCAATATCACCTCTTTGGTGATTCTTTTCACTCTGCATTATCTTCTACTCTCAAATCCCTTGTTCCCTGGTCTTCTCCAAACCTCTCCAGCACCCAACCCTGGATTACTCCTCTGCCGTGTAAATCCTTTGTGCTCAGTGTCATGCTGCTAAATAGAACTGGTAGAAGTCTCCAAAATGTTTTGCCAGGTAGAGTCCAATACATATGTATGTTATCTAATCTCAGCTGGGTTTCACAACTGCAAGACAATTTTTCTCAATTGATTCTCTAGCCCATGCTCCACCCTAGTTGATCCAAATCTCTTCTCTCTCTTAAAGCCTTCTTCACTGGATCCTCTTCCTCAACTTTCTCATCTGAGGATCTGGCCTTCCACGGAAACCTTGAGGCCCTTTTATTTTTTTTAATTTTTTTTTAATTCATTCATTTATTTTTAGTTTTCAACATTCGTTTCCACAAGATTTCGAGCTCCAAATTTTCTCCCTATCTCATCCCTCCCCCCACCCCAAGATAACATGCATTCTGAATACCCCTTCCCCTAATCTGCCCTCCCTTCTATCTCTCCCCTCCTTCTTTTATCCCCTTCAGCTTCAATTTTCCTGTAGGGCAGAATAGATTTCTATACCCCATTTCCTGTATATCTTATTTCCCAGTTGCATATGAAAACTTTTTTTAACATTTGTTTTTAAAACTTTGGGTTCCAAATTTTCTCCATTCCTCCCTCCCCACCCACCCTCATTGAGAAAGCAAGCAGCTCAATACAGGTTATACATATGTAGTCATGTAAAACACTTCCATAGTAATCATGTTGTGAAAAACTAAGTATATTTCCCTTAATCCTATCATGCCCTCCATTTATTCCATTCTCTCTTTTGACCCTGTCCCTCTTTAGAAGTGTTTGCTTCTGATTACCACCTCCTCCAACCTGCCCTCCCCTCTATCATCTCCCTGCTCTCTTGTCCCCTTCCCCCCCTATTTTCCTGAAGGGTAAGATAGATTTCTATACCCAATTGAGTGTGTATGTTATTCCCTTCTTAAGCCAAATATGATGAGAATAAGATTCACTCATTCCCTCTCACCTTCCCCCATTTCCCCTCCACTGTAAAAGCCTTTTCTTGTCTGTTTTTTGTGAGATAATTTACTCCATTCTACTTCATTTTTTCTCCTTCTCCCAGTATAATCCTCTCTCACTCCTTAATTATATTCTCCCAGATATCACCCCTTCATCTTCAACTCACCCTGTGCCTTCTATTGATCTATTTATCTATATATACATACATATAATTTTTTCCATCCAACTACCCTAATACTGACAAAGGTCTCATGAGTTACAAATATCATCTTTCCATGCAGGAATATAAACAGTTCAATATTAATAAGCCCCTTATGATTTCTCTTTCCTGTTTACCTCTTCATGTTTCTCTTGAGTCATATATTTGAAAGTCAAATTTTCTGTTCAGCTCTGGTCTTTTCATCAAGAATACTTGAAAGTCCTCTATTTCACTGAATTTCCATTTTTTCCCCGAATGATTATACTCAGTTTTGCTGGGTAGGTGATTCTTGGTTGTAATCCTATCTCCTTTGCCCTCCAGAATATCATATTCCAAGCCCTCTGGTCCCTTAATGTAGAAGCTGCTAAATCTTGTGTTATCCTAATTGTGTTTCCACTATACTTGAATTGTTTCTTTCTGGCTACTTGCAATATTTTCTCCTTGACCTGGGAACTCTGGAATTTGGCTACAATATTCCTAGCGGTTTTCCTTTGGGGATCTCTTTCAGGAGGAGATAGGTGGATTCTTTCCATTTCTATTTTGCCCTCTGGTTCTAAAATATCAGGGCAGCTTTCCTTGATAATTTCTTGGAAGATGATGTCTAGGCTCTTTTTTTGATCATGGCTTTCAGATAGTCCAATAATTCTTAAATTATCTCTCCTGGATCTATTTTCCAGGTCAGTTGTTTTTCCAATAAGATATTTAACGTTGTTTTCAATTTTTTCATTATTTTGGATTTGTTTTACAGTGTCTTGATTTCCCATAAATTCACTAGCTTCCAATTGCTCCATTCTCATTTTTAAGGAAGTATTTTCT